CTGGCGGCGGGCGGGGAGTCGCGGCCCCCCGGTGGGCCTATCTTAGGGTGCCTAACTGCAGGTGCGGTCAGGGGAGGAGGCGTCAGGGGGCAGAAGACTGGAGACAGGTTTGCCTCTTTCACGGGGTGAGGAACGGATGGGACCGATGAATAGCTTTTAGTGTTGTCTGAACCTTTGAAGATAAAATGGGGTTTAGTTTCACTTTTTATTCCCAGTCGCATTGTCTCACTATTATTCCCTAAACAGAGAAAGGAACGTCACGTGTGAAAATGAACACAAACTATTCTGGTAATTGTCATCTTTCTTTCTTTTTTTTTTTTTTTTTTTCTGAGACAGGGTGTCACTATGCAGTTTAGGCTAGCCTTGAATTTGTGGCGATTCTCCTGCCTCAGTCTACCGGGTGTTGGGATTACAGGGATGCACTATCATGCCTGGCTGGTAACTGCCAGTTTTCTTTGAAAGGTTTTTTAAATTTTTTTCCCCCGAGGGCTGGGACTGCAACCAAGGCCTGGACCATGGCCGGCCAGAGCTCTACCACAGAGTTACACCCTCAGCCTTGACACACTTTCTCATCTGACAATTTCCCTTAAGCACTTGCTTTAGGAAGCAATCAGAAGTAAGTGCAGAGATGTAGCCAAAAGAGTAAAGACTCATTGTTGAAAAGGGTGAAGTATTAAAAATGTCCTAACTGGCTATAACGTAAATACTACAGCTAACCGCTGAAATAACTATGCAGGGTTAATATAGTGACACAGAACAGTAATTAATTACCAAAAGAGATGCTTCACTGCCTGTTAGGTATTTCATGATTTGACTTTTGGAAAGGAAAAATAAGCACTAGTTCATAAATATTTCTGTGTAATAAAACTTTCATGATAGGTAAGGTCAATTATTGGGAAAAGAAGTAATATAAAACTTTGTAGCCCAGGCTGGTCTCAAACTTGTAAGTATTTGATCCTCCTGCCTCAGCCTCCAGAGTGCTGGGATTACAGGCGTGCGCCACCACGCCTGGCCTGGGAGCATATTTCTTGAAGATACTTTATTTGGTTTGAAGCTCTATTTTTTTTTGAAATTCAAAAGCCATAAATTTTAGCGCCAGGACAGAAAAAAAAAAAAAGCAGTCATGTTTTGAAATAATTACATGGCACTAACACTTGACCACCTTCAGATCTGCAATTCTCTTTTTAGGTGACACCACCAGGGGATAAGATGGCTTTCATTTCTAAAGAGATTCATACATCTTACCAGGCATGGTGGTGCACTTCTGTAATCCCAGCACTCGGGAGGCTGAGGCAGGAGGATTGCTGCCAAGTTGGAGGCCAACCTGGGCTACAGTGAGTTCAAAGCCAGCCTGAACTACATAGCAAGACCCTAACTTTAAAAAAACAAAAACCAACCAAAATAAACAAACTAGTACTACCAGATATTAGGGCACATGCCTAAAATCCTAGCATTGTGGGAAGCTGAGGCTGAAAGATTAAAACTTTGGAGCCCAGCTTTGGCAATTCAGTAATACCCTATTCTCAAAATAAAAACAGGGTTAGGGGTATAGTTCAGTGCAAAGCCTCTGGGTTCAGTGCTCGCTTCGCCAGCACATATACAAAGCCTCTGGGTTCAATCCCTAGTAACACTAGTGCACGGGCACACACACACACACACACATACACACACACAGAGCTTCTGTGCACACAGAAGCAGCACTATACAAGGAAACCTATGCACCTATCAATGGTGTATGCATCATTACTGAAGTTAATTTGTCAACATATGTAAATAATTGGAAGAAAGAAAAAATTTTTTGACACAGGGTCTCAGTATGTAGCCCAGGCTGGCTCCAAACTTGTGGTGATCCTCCTGCCTCAGCCTCCTGAGTGCTGGGATTACAGGCGTGTGCCACCATGCCTGGCTGAAGGGAAAATAATAAAAGAGTAATGAGTGTTTTGAGGTGGATGTAAAAAAATTTCTTTTATACATAAAGTTGTAAAAGGACTAGAGACCATGGGTGAAATATTGTTCATAAGGCCCCTAATATCAAGGAATACTAGAAGCACACAGGATGAAAATGATCTGATTGCTCATTTTAAGCATCACGGAACTTGATGTAAGTCATAGCAATAAAAGTTAAATATCAGTAAAGAACAGAGCTACAACCAAGAAGGAGTGATGACTGTCTCACTTTTAGTACCTCTCTTCTGAATCATCTTTAGCATTGTATAATGTCTGTCATCTTATTGTCTCATAAAAAGCAAAACAACCTGTGTTTCGGATATACAAATAAAGGAACGGAAGGAATACTGATTCTTTGGCGGTGGGTGGGTTCTGGGGGCTGAACCCAGGGCAGTGTGTGTGCTCTATACTTGGTCTACCACTGGCCACAACCCAGCCCTCCCCAAAGTCCTAGGTGGGAATATCAGTATAAATTCACACCCGCCCCCCATGGACTCCTTAGAGAAACAGCTGGTTTGGATATGGGGCAGGATTATATAAATCGGGAAGATCATGTAAGAGAAGCTAATGAAGCTATTAAAGACAACCAGGATTGGCAGTTTGAGGGGTTTCTACACATCAGAGAGGGGAAGATCTGAACACTTTAAAATACTTTAAAATTTTGTGGGAAAGAAACCCCAATCAATATGCACTGACAAATAACCTATGTTCAAACATTTGTGAAACCGAAATGATACAGTCCTACATTTCCCAATCTGATTACACTGGAAGATACTTGAAAAGCAACTTGTATTCTGAAAACTAATAAAAGGCAAATAATTAAGCTTTTCTTGAGGGTAATAGGATTGAACCCTCTGTACCAGGCTATATGCGTAGTCTTTTTTGGTTTGTTTTTTAAAGTTTGCATCTGAGATAGGAGCTTACTAAGTAACTAACTGAACCAGGGTAGGCTCGAAATTGTGATTCTCCTGCCTCAGCCTTCTGGAATGCTAGGATAAGAAGCATGCAACACCATGCTGCCTTATGCGTTTATTCTGCCTCTTTGTACCAAATTATTGATAAGGACAATTTTTCTTTTTAAAATAAAACCAATTAACAAAAGAATGACAGGATTGCTAATTGCTGTGAAATTAAGACTACAAACCAAGATCATGAATGTTTGTTGCACCATTAAGTAAAAAGCTAATAGAGAATTTTATAATCAATACCTCAGGTCAACATAATGAGTCACAGACCAATGTTAATACAAAAAATGAAACCATCAGACATTGTATTCTCTCAGATGTGAAGGAACGTAAGTGGGCAAATTATGCACAAGATTCTCTCTATGCTATTTAAAAAAAATAAAGAAGGAAGAGGAGGTAGCAAGAAAAAGGGAGCCCTAAAGAAAGCCAGGCCTAAGAGACACCAATGAAACAAACCGAAAGTAAAAAGTAAACAAAAATAAGTGAGATGACAAATGGAGCAATTTTCTGTTTGTTCCTCAGTGCTAAGGGTGGAACCTGGGCCTTGTGCCTGCTAGGAGGGCGCTCTCCCTGGGAGTACTGCAGTTCTAGATTCCTCATCTCTTGACAGATACTGATAAATCGATGGACAATATCAGATCTCGGGGGGGAGGGATTGAGTGAGATTACAGGAGAATGATTTTGTATTGTAAAAGTCTGCAGTGGAGAGGGAAATAGGGCTCATTATACACTTTCTAATTTGTAGATTTCTTTTTTTTTTTTTTTGTACTGGGAATAGAACTCAGGACCTTACACTTGCCAGACAGACACTTGTGCCACTGAGCTAAATCCCCCGCCCAACTTTGTATATTTCTGAAAAATTTCCATTACAAATGTCTCAACTCTCTCATCTGTGCTGCATTCCATTGGTCCCTGTTATCACCAACCCTTCCATTTCCACTGAAATTCACTTCATTTATTCTCCAGTCTACCGCTGCCCCGACTCTTGCAGGGCCACCAACAGCCTTCTAAGTAACGGTGACACCTGTCTTCTGAGTCACTTTCCTAGGAGTAACACTGATAATTTGATCATGTCCTTCCTGAAACAGGAGAGCCTGGTTTCACTCCTGCCTGAGAAGACTTTCCAAGTCTCTCCAGCTAGTTCCTGCTCACTCCGAAAACCACTAGAAGTCCACAATTCCCAGGGTTTTTCCTTGGATTTTGTACTTCTTTTAGTTTTCCTTGCTTTAACTACTGTCTCAGTGCTTGCTGTCCTCTAAGTTGAATCTTGCAACATCTTACATCTCCACTGGACATGTCCCAGCATGACCTCCCCATCTACCTCTCCAAACCTGCTCATCTCTCCCCATTGGCTGACAGGTCCTGCATCCTTCCAGGTTGAATTCACTATGTGACCTAGGCTGGTCTTGAATTCATAGTGATCCTCCTGCGGCCTTGTGAGTCCTGGGACTACAGGTGTGCACCGCTGCATCCAGCTAACGCCATATTTAATATATCAGGAATCCTACTGAAGTTCTCTTCAAAACATACCCTGTGGGCCGGGCGTGGTGGCACACGCCTGTAATCCCAGCACAAGGGAGGCTGAGGCAGAAGGATCATTGCAAGTTCGAGACCAGCCTCGGCTACAAAGTGAGCTCAAGGCCAGCCTGAACTGCATAGTGAAACCCTGTCTCAAAAAAGACCCAAAAAACCCAAACATCAAACAAACAAAAAAACCAAACACACACCAAAAAAACCTTCTGTGGTATTACAGGCCTATAATCCCACCACTCAGGAAGCTGTCGCAGGAGGATTGCTTTGACTCTGAGGCCAGCACGGGCTATACAGCAAGACCTTGTCTCAAACAAAAACACAGAAAACCCAGAAACATGCCTGATCCAGACATTTCTCATGTCCTCATTCCTTAGTCTCTCTGGCTCTAGCTCGCTACTCTCGCTGTTATTAGGAGAGACTTTTTATGATTTCCCTGTGGTTGTACTGTCTGGCCCAATTCATTCGGGTTTCAACCCAGTAACCAGGTTTATGTTGGAGCCTGATCGAAGCTTGCTGTCTCCAGTAACATTGCTGTAGCTCACAGGAAGGCTGGTCCACAAAACCTGGGACAAGTTGCTCAGCACCCACCCACTTCTCTGACCTCCTCCCCTCCTAATTCTGTTCTGTACTCCAAGCCAGGCTGGCTCTGCCCCCTGCAGTACACAGGTGGACTCTGCCATGAGACCTGGTGCTTGCCCCATCCTCTACTTGAACACACTGCTTCACCAACCATCCCACCGCTGACTCCGCACACAGGGTCTCACTCAAATGCCGCACTTGCAGCCAACCTCCTGCAACAGCCCCATGATGTAGCCCCGGCCAGCAGCCCCCAGGACCGCTCATGGCTGCTGCGGGACTTACATGGAAGCAAGAGGGGCTCCAAGAAGGCTTCCAGGAAGGACTGTCATTTCATCTATGCCAAGAAGAGTGAGTGAGGCTTGAAAATACACAGGGTATTCACAAGCACAATGATAAGAATATGATTTTTTTAAAAAAAAGACCCAAAAAGCTGTGTGTTACTTTTTGTTGACTTTTAACTCTAGTACATATGTAGAAATATATTCAGTGCCTTAGTTTTAGCCCTAAATAAACTATAATACAAAAGTCAAATGAGATTCTAGTTAGTCAGGTGTGGTTGAGCATACCTGTAATCCCAGCACTTGGAGGCTGAGGCAGGAGGATCACCATAAGTTTGAGGCCAGCCTGGGCTACCTCGTGAGTTTAAGGACAGTTTGGAACATAGAGTGAAACCGTGTCTCAAACAAAGAGTAACCGGTGAATGAACTACCATCTTCTCTCACCCTGGCTCATCTCTAAGGGGCAGCAAAGACACAGGAGAGCGAACAGCAGGTGCAGGGGAAGTCCAAACCCTCTGCCCACACAAGGCCACAGAGGAGGCAGGCAGGTCCTGGGCTCACCTGGGACAGGCAGTGATGTTGCCTTGCTGTTACTGGCCACAGCAGAGTTGTTCTTCCGCTTGACCCGAGGACTCTGCTTCCTCTCCACGGCTCTGATCTTGCGCTCCAGGACCTCGCTCATCATCGCTGCCCGCTTCTTCCCGGAGCGGGGCACTGGCTGCGTGAAGCGCATCCTCTTCCTGCGTGTGGGCTGCAGGACCTGCACGGCCCCTGACCGCACCTTGGCATCCATGCCTTCCTTGGAGCCAAACTCGTCGGTGTCAGACAGTCTATACAGAGGGAGGACGTGGAGCTGCTCATCCTCAGGGACCACACCCAGGGAGCGGTTGTCTTCCCGGGTCAGAGTGCAGACCTGCAGGGAGGAGAGGGGCAGGTGGGAGCGCGGCTCGCTCGCTCATGCAGTCTTCCCTTCCGGCGGCAACAGGGCCCAAACCCAGATTCTGCACACTGAGCGCCATCCTGGCCCTTTGCAGGTTTTCAGACAGCCATGCTAGGTTACTAAATTGCCCAGGCGGGGCTCTGACTCCATCCTCCTGCCTCAGCTTCCCAGAGCATTCGGTAACAGTAGAACATCACTATGCCCAGCCTGGGCCATTTTTATTTTCCTTCTGTGCCATTTTTTTCTTCCATTCCAGTGAAGAATAATGTATATTAATGTATCATTCTTGTAGATGTACATATTTCCTTAAAATTTTGTCTTGGGCCAGGGGAGGGAATTTTTACAAAGAATTAAGACTGGTTATATACATGTACCAACTCCATTCAACAAGTATAATCCGTACAAACTGCAAACATGTGCAGTACCAAGGGAAATAAAGATTTTAAAAAATGTTCCCTTAAATGTATCCTACCTCAAAACAAACAAACAAAAAATGTATCCTATCTCTTCCCTGCACGTTATTCCGCTTTTTAGGGGGTACTGGGGATGGAACCAGGGCTCTGTGTGTGCAAGAACACGTTTTATCAAGCAGTGACAGTCTTTCCCTCTTCCTACTTCTTTTACTTATTGTTTTATTCTGAGACAACATCTCACTAACTATATAGTTTAGGCTGATCCCAAACTCACTATACAGTTGGCCTTGAAATCACTATGTAGCTCACTTTGGCCTCAGAATCATGACCAGAATGAATAATCACACATAGACTTCCTGATGTTTGCAACCTAATATTAATTTTCTGCTGTATCAACTAATATTTCAGTTTTAAGTACTTTTTAAATATCACTAGAGGGCCGGGGATATAGCTCAGTGGTACAGTGCCTGCCTGGTAAGCACAAGGTCCCGAGTTCGATTCTGGGCACCGGAAAACAAACAATCAAACAAAAAACATGAAAAAAACAAACAAATATCACTAGAAATCCATCAGAAATATATGAAATGATTTCATTATTTTTCATTAAAAACATTCTCCCTAGGGATAAGAAAGAGCACATTCTAGGATAACAAAGACTGGAGATAAATCTCTCGATGCACACACACGGTGGGATGGTTTCTATCTACCTAGTTGTCTCCCCAAACCCTCAGTGCTCACAGGAGGGGCTTGGACCCTGGGATCCAGCAGTGGCTGGATCATGGGTGTGTGATGCTGGATTAAGGGTGTGTTCAGCATAGTTTTGGGTGTGGGGGCCACCAACCAATAGGCTTGAACCCTGGGTAGGACACATGGGAAAGGAAGGGAGGCTTGCTCTGTTTTGTTTTCTTTTTGAGACAAGATCTTGCTGTGCAGTTCAGGCTGGCCTTGAGTTCACTTTGTAGCCCTGGCTGGTCTCCCACTTGCAACCATCCTCCTGCCTCAGCCTCCTGAGTGCTAGAATAACAGGTGTGCACCACCACACCTGGCCATGTGCTGTTTGTTTTCTGCCTGCCCTGCCTTGGAGCCAGTTGACTATGGACTGAAATCTCTATAATCTGTGAGGTGAAATAAACCCTTCCTCCTTTACTTTGGTATTTTGTCCCTGAAATGAGAAAAGTAACTAGGACAGATGGTAAGGCAAAACTAGCTATAGGCTTTTAACTCACAGTACTTTCTTAATGAATGTTCATAGTAGCATTTATGTGCTAGGTTGGGAAACTGTCAGGGGGCTAAACTGGTAGTAGTTTAAAAATGTTTGAAATCAGAAATATTTAATTATAAATGTTTACTTCAACTAGGCTTTTAAATTATTTTTTTCTTTCTGGCTTTTTGAGATAGGGCCTTGCTATGTAGTTCAGGCTGGCACTAAACTCAGTGATTCTCCTGCCTCAGCCTCCCAAGTGTTGGGACTACAAGTATGCACCTCCATGCCTGGATTTCTTTTTTGACACAGTTGCTCAGGCTGATTTCAAATTCCTGGACTCAAATGATGGTGTTTCTTTAACTTCCAGAGTAGCTGTCATTACAAGCATATACCAGAATGCCTGGATTGACTGGTTAATTGATTGACTGATTGATTTCCAGTATTGGGGATTTCCAGTATCCAGGATTGGGGATTGAATTCCAGGATTAGGGTTCAATCACTGACCCATAGCCTTTTATGAGACTAGATCTCACTAAGTTGCTAAATTGCCCAGACTGGGCTCAAATTTGTGACACCGCCCGCCCTGCCAGCCTCAGACAGTGCTGATGCCATAGGCGTGTACCACCCACCCCTAAGCTTGCCCAGTTTACCTGTCCATGGGAGGGATAATAAAGAGTGGATATGGTTTACCTGTCCATGGGAGGGATAATAAAGAGTGGATATGGTTTACCTGTCCATGGGAAGGATGATAAGGAGTGGATATGAAGAAATCAGGAAAATTAGGAAACACAGAGTGAGAGATTTAGGTAGAATTTCAAGATTAGATAATTTAGGGGTGAGGGAGAAGGAAAGAGACCAAGGACTGGAGAGAAGAGGGAGTCAGGGGAGGGGCAGGGGACAGAAAAAGAGTTCCGATGCTCTGTGCCTGTGCCCAGCACCCCACAGTGAGTGCTGTGCATCTCAACCACACGCCAGTAAAACTAAATAAACCCAGCAATGAAAAAATACATAAAACTGCTGGAAAGTCAGTGAAAAAGGAAATTTAGAATGATGTCACAGAACAAAGAGACAATGAACTGAAACTTGGTTTTACTCTGAACCTCATCCAGCCTGACCAGCAGACAATTTGTGGAAAATGTCCTGGCTAAAAGGTGGTGATGAGCTGAGTGTGGTGGCTCATACCTGTAGTCCCAGCAATTGGGAGGCTGAGGCAGGAGGTTCACCACTGAGTTTGAGCCAGCCTGGACTACCTAGTGAGACACTGTCTCAAAAAAAAACCAAGGGGAGTGATGATGAGCCATACCTGGAGGGGATTCACCAGAGCGGATTTTTGTTGTTCTGAGTTGTCTGGGGTTTTTTGGAGACGGTGTCTCACTAGGTAGGGCAGATTGGCCTTGAAATGCCGGCCATGCTCCTGCCACGCTGGGATTACAGGTGTATGCCACTACACCTGGCTGTTTTTTTGTTTTTTGAGACAGGCTACATGTCACTATGCAGCCTAGCCTGGCCTCCAGCTTGTAGCAATCCTCCTGAGTGCTGAGATTACAGGGAGGTACCACCACACTGGGCTCACCAGGATGGATTTACATAACTTTAGCATTTGGAGATAACATTGGGCTTACAAAGCACAGTGGCATATGCTTATAATCCTAAGCACTTGGGAAGCTGAGGCAGGAGCATCACTGAGGTTGAGGCCAGCCTGGGCTACATAGTGAAACTCTTTTTCAAAAAAGGAAAAGGTCTCAAAGACTATATTTGATATTTATAGTAATGATATGCAACCACATTACTTGGCCTCTTCTGTCTATCTGGACACACTCTTGCTAACCTACCAAAGAGGGAAGGCTACTTTGCGTATTTCTCATCACGCTGTAACAGCCTATAGCAAAGATTTATGAAGGTTTCAAAGTTATTGGGCAAACCAAAGTCCACAGCGTATCATGAAGGCAGTTACTGCAAGCAAACTTACTTCTCTGACAAAGCCTGCTGCATGATGTCCGCTGCGTCTTCAACCTTCCTCTAATCTCAGAGGCCCTTCCCACTGCCGGGCACTGGGCTGGGGCTTAACCGTGCAGTGATGCCTGACCAGTGCAAGGCCCTGGGTTCAGTCCCCAGCGCAGACACAGACACCACAGAACAAAGACATGAAGGCTTTGACCCATCTCGGGTGACTACAGACGTGGCACACATAGCCTGGTGGTAAACGTAGCTGGTACCTCTGGAATATTCATACAGACTAGGAGTAAGAACCACTGACGGGTACGGTGGTGTACACCTGTAATCTCAGAGTCAGCAGGCTGAGGCAGGAGGAGGATAATAAGCTCAATGTGCCGTACGGAAGTAAGACCAGCCTGGACCACAATGTAAGATGCTATCTCAAAGAAATCAAACCAAACCAAATCAAACTTGGCAATGTTCCCTCACGAAAACCCTGAAGCACACATGGCAAAAAGAAAACTAATGTGCCCCTCCTGCCTCAGCCTCCCAAATGCTGGCATTACAGGCATGCACCACCAGTTTCATAGTACAGAGTTGTAGCTTTAAATAATCCTGTACTCCTTTCTCCCAGCAAAAACACCACAATTAAAAATATGAGTTAAATGTGGCAACAAAGTGAGACTTGTTTTATAACACCTTGGAAAGATACTGATAATTTTAATAAACATTACCTACATGACACCTAATCACAACTAAAATAAGGTTTGTCACCACAGGTAAGGGCTGCAGCCTAAGTGTGCAGCGACAGCTTCCTGACATGTGGCCCCGCGGGTGCGTACCACAGTGCTCCCGTTGTTCATGTTGTGGATGTCCCGGTGTGGGTGTGCACAGAAGTCGAGGCAGGCAGTGACCCCAGAGAAAGGACGCCCTTCCTTGCGACCAAGCCGGCATTCTCGGGCAACGTGTTCATACTCCACCTACAAGAAAGGAAGCACAGGACAGACACATCTTTAAGAGACGGAAAAACCACAAAGGACATGAATTACATGGGCAGAGTTTTTAGTGTCAGTGCAAAGTAGAAACACAGTCTTTGTTTTTCCAGTGCTGGGACTGAAACCCAGGGCCTCTGAAGGCCAGGCAAGCACTCTGGCACTGCACTGGACTACATCACCAGTCCACAGCTCTTTTGCAGAGGAAAAGCTAGAGCTGTGTTCAGTGACATGCCACAGTCCCAGCAGCTCGGGAGGCTGAGGCAGGAGGACCCTTTGCACCAGGAGTTTGAGGCCTGCCTGGATAACACAGTGGGCTGTATCTAGTTAACTAATGAATTATGAAAAAGAAAGTTGGAACTTAACAGAGAACGTGCCATTGACAAGATCCAAGTAAACTACAGATTTCTGAGGAAACAGACTTTGGATGCTGGGCGTGTAGCCTGGGTTTACTGTGTATTAGAAGGCCCATGCAGGGGCTGGGGATTTAGCTCAGTGGCAAAGCGCCTGCCTGGTAAGCGCAAGGTCGTGAGTTCGGTTCCCGGTACCAGAGAAAAACCAAAAAAAAAAACCCAAAAAAACAGCTTAAGAAGGCCCATGCACTATCCACTGTGCAATGGAGCCACCTAATGTATAGCACCATATTTAAAAAAAAAAATTTACACTTATTTTCAATTTATATATGGCTTGTACATAATTTCTCACATCCTAGGGACTCTTCTAGTGAGACCCTGGGTTCGATCCTTAGCATTTCCCACCAAAAGTAGAAATAGTCATATTGACATATTTTAAAATGCACTCAACAAAAATTATACACGAAAAAGTTCAAGGTTTAAAGTTTTCCATTAATGAGGATTTTTTTATTCTGTCTTTTTGAGATCCTCCTGCCTCAGCCTCCTGAGTGCTGGGATTACACATGTGCACCACCACACCCAGCTGAGGACTTTAAAAGTACAGGACAAAAATTTTTTTTGAGACAGAGACTTACTTACTCTGTAGTTCAGACTGACCTAAAAATGACTGTGTAGTCCACACTGGCCTTAAACTTGTGGTAATTCTTCTGTCTCAGCTTGTCAAATGCTGGGATTACAGGTGTGTATCACCACCCCCAGCTCTACAAAGACATTTGAACCACGCTGAAGAGCACTGTAAAAGGTTCCAAAACATACCTGGTTTTGGTAAGCAACAGGAGCATACTGCTTATAAATTGGAGCTAATTCTGTAGCCAGACTCTGTAAATTATCTTCCAGGTTTTTTTCCTACAGGAAAAGACAGTCCATCTAGGTTATTTTATAATAACATATATATGAGGACAAGGTATGAAACTGCACTAGAAATAATTGCTGATGCATGATCTATACTTACCATAACAAAATAGCTACCATAGAAAATTAGAGTATCTTTTTCTTAATCTGAACTATTAGGAATTTTTATGCCTAATTAGATCTTTTAAAATGAGAATTGCTGTAAATTATCTAGAAAACTAAACACTATTAGAGGTTAACTTGCAGAAGTGCTCATGTTGCTAAGGATGAGAACCATATTTTGTATTTATTAAACAGTATTGGGTACTGAAATAAATGAAGACTAGGTTCCTGCTGACGAAGGGACATAGTGAATGAAGAATTCAAGGGGACATAATGTGATCAAGGTGACATTATGTAATAACAGAGGGGGAGAGAAACATGCAACACATCCTATGCTACGAATCTCAAATATAATGAATATATCCTTAAAATAATACCATGAATCATGAGTTATTCTTTGTAGAATGGTTAAGTGAGTGTGACAGGTTTAGTAGATGCCTCATCTAGTAGATCAAAAGTAATCAAGTGGGCAGCTAGGTGTCTACAACCAGTGTTGTGTCTTCTATGCCTGAAAGCTGGGTAAGGTTTCCTGGGACTACGGGGACCATGAACGCCACCTAAGAACAGGGTTGCTACAGACTTTCTCAAATAGGCGTCTGTGTTACAAACAGGTGATCCTGGGATGATGAGTGATGGAGAGAAGAGATACCCTGGAGAGAAGGGATACCCTGGAAACAGTAGTTAAAAGACCACTGAAAGCTTTTCCTATATGATGACACTGTCAGCCAAGTGCACTGAGAGCAAGGTTGGAAGAAGAGCGGAAGGAAGTGGCAGCTGTCCTGGCCGGCGAGCTGCTGGGCGGGGACGCCCTCAACACAGCCGCAGGGAGCAGCTCACTTCTCTAGTACCCAAGATCCGGATGAAAGCCAGAGTCACCCAATGGGCAGACTCCACAGGAAGTCAGCTCTGTGATGGTTTGCTTACACGCCTCTGTCTGGCACCCATGAACATCAGTGATGACCCATTGTTTTCCTACTAATTTAGGTCCAGCTTTTGATTATACAAGAAATCCTGTGATCCCAGCACTCTGGGAAATAAAAAGTAAAAAAGGCTGGAGACAGAGTAACTGTGAAGGACTTATATTGAATCCCTGGGTGGGTGGGGGCCCAGATAAGACAAACAGAGAGACAAGAAGTCCGTATGTAGAGGTCTCATTTCCAGTGTAGTCCATTTGTGTGGTTCTGACTTACTGTAGCACAAAAAAATCGTCATACTGCTTTAATAGTAGTTGATAGCTACACCTGCACATTAATTATTGCATTGAGTTAGGGGAGACTCTAGAGTAATGATTTAAAGATGATTTAGAAGGTTTTGATTTTTTTTTTTTTGATCATGCAATATTGTGTTAGGTGGGTGTTGCATTTCACTGCTAGTACAATAATGCAGACTATGGTAATGAGTGTATACTTTTATTGATAAGGACATTAGAAAAACTACAGGTAAGGATGCAGTAGGTCTAAATTCCCCAACATTATGACATCATGTAGGTGTATTTTATAATAGTATCTATTATAAAACATCCAGTGTCACAAGTCAGACTGAGTAAAACTAAGATAGTAGGCAAATAGGGACGAATAATACAAGCTTTCTTGTGTCAGTGAATCCTGGTGTCACCTGTTGTTAGGTGCTTTAGTCATGTTGTAAAAATCCTGACTTTCTAGTTGCCTCATTCAAATGCATGCACATGTCACATACAGTGAGGACTGCTGATTGGAGCTTTACTTAAAGATGCTTTTGGCTCTTACTATATCTGATCTCTGGTGACCCCGGTGTCTGCCCCCAGTGTATACCCTAGGTGGCTATAATCACCACCCGGACACCTCTCCAGATGCAGGTTCTCAGCAGTATTGATACAAGGTCAATGCTTAGATTTCCCTTTAGAATTTCAAAGCCCAATGCTCAGACTGAACATATGACCACTGCCCTACCAACCCAGTCCTCTGCACTGTACTGCATATCCAGGAGCAGCGCCTGCACACCCACCACTGCTCACCAATCCCTGTGTAACAACCCTGTTCCAAGCCACCGCTCCCCCTTCCTGCGTTCACTCACAGTGGCGAGCTTCCCTTACCAACCCATGCCAACACTCAAAGAGCACCCAGAGAGACCCCAGTGTAAGTCTCTCCCTCCTTCTTAAAACCCTTCTGTGATCTTCCAAACCTCTTGCCGTGCCTTACAAGACTGCTGCATGCACCTCACTGTCCCTTGCCTGCTGAGCTTCAGCCATACGGGGCTCTGACAGTGCCCGGAATGACCACGTTTCCTCCTGGATCACAAGCACTATAAGGCGTTACTCGTTATTATAAATCACCACAAGCAAACCATTCTCACATTCATTCATTACTTAACGAGATGAAGAGCATACAAAAAATTAACAATCTTGTCAGTGTTAAAGGTATAATTATATACCAACACATACTTCTACAATGTCATATTTAGAAAGAAAACTGGTGAATTAAAAAAAAAGAATGAACAGCACACTCTAGAGCAGTGACGGTGAACCTTTTAGTTTTCAGTGATAACAGCGCCCTGCAGCACACGTGCCATGTACCGTGCATTTGCCCCCACTGCTATAGAGTGCTCCCGTCTATGAGCACAGGGCCCGTCCATTTTCAAGTATTGCATGTGTCCCTTTGGTAAGGTTTTATGGTTCTCTACCGAAGTGCCTAATATACTTCATGTTAGAATTTTTCTGAGACTTTATTGGTAGATAGGCAAGTTACTGAAATTTGATAAGACACCATATTATCAAGCTATCATGTAAACTCTATTAACAGACATAATATTATATAGTTTAATTATTTTTTGTTCTCAAGACAGGAGATAATAATATCTGCAAATAACTTTTGAGTTATGCCACTACTGTACTGAATTAGCTTGAAAATGTAGAAAATGCTAAATAGTTATCTCTTTAAAGGGTATTACTTAATAATTCTGATCTCTTTTTGAAAGTTGTTATGTTAACTGTACTACATACACTGTTGGATTAAATCTTGCTATTTTATTTTATGTTTTCTATTTATCTTGCATGCTAGTGATTTGTAAACCACTTCTGGTGACTTGTGCAAGGATTAAGAACCTTTTTAAACATACACTTTCTCAACTGTATGCAACACATACGCATAGTGTTTTCCAAACTGTGGGGCATGACTTCCTAGAGGGTCATATCATTTTTCAAAGAAATGAAATTTAATAAAAAATATCATCATAAATTAGAAAAATCCACAGGGATAACTATACTAACTTTAAGGTAAGTATTGTATTCTTTTACTTTTGTTTTACTTGTTTATATACATGTGCATAGAGGTTCACAATCCATTTTGTGCTTTTGGTCACCACTCCAAGTTTGGAAAACGCTGATCTTCCAGTTAATTAAATCCTCCTCCCCTAAACAAAGCATAACACATTACCATACTTCATCTCCTTTGTGCCACACCCCCTCCCCCACCTTCCCACCCTCAATTTGAAAAAAAGATGGAATTATATTTATAGGTTCTTTTTTATATTTAAAAAAATGTAAGTACTCAGCTTATTAAAACTTAACACCAAGGTTGACTGATTTCTTTGCTCACCATGGCCACGTGTTCCTTACAGACTCGTTCCGGTCTCACATATCTTCTTTCTGGATTACGTCCTTTAGTAATTCTTTCATAGTAGGTCTGTGGGTAGTAAACTTTCTGAGTCTTGGAAATGCTGGCAAATGGTTTTTCCTATGCTGGCTGGGTATAGAATGCTAGGTTCTTTTAACAGTGATTTCCTTGGGGTTAGAGGAGCAAGAGAAGGGGAGGTGGGCCAGGGACAACTGGGGTTTGGGTGGAGAGTTAGAGCTCTTAATTTATTTAGAATTTTAAATTATGTACTTCTATATATTTAGTATTTTTTACTACTTTTTAAACTTTAATTTTGTTAACATCTCAAAAAATTTAAAGAAATATACTTATATAGCATTGTGTAATTAAAAAAAAAAACACAGAAAGGACACTTACATGTAGGGGAGAACTTGGATCAATTCTAAATCTTCTGGGACTTGGGCTTCTACCAAATTTGCACCCGTTGAAGTACATGCTCCATGAACAGCCGAAAGAGAATGAAGCTCCACAGGTCTCTGGGTCAATCCCTTGACACGTGCAGGTACGACTGTAACATGGTAATGGCAAGGGAGACAACTGAGAAAGCAGGATAATTCCTCCAGCAAAACACTTGCAGGGCACAGAACTTTGGAAATACAGACACGATAGCTATTGACAGGCTATACGTATCCATTTTATAACTAAAATTTGCACCAAAAAGTTTGCTCAAGATGATAAATCCAAAAAAATGGCACAATATACAAATCTAAAATATTTAGATCTAGGGATCTAAAATCAATCACTTTGTTTGATTTGGAGATGCCCAAAGTGAAGAAATAACGGGTCCGGATTTTCTTTATTTTGAGATAGGGTCTCACTTTGTAGTGCAGGCTGGCTTTGCACTCGCTATGTAGCCCAGGTTGACCTTGAAATCATAGCGATACTCCTGCCTCAGCCTCCCAAGTGCAGGGATTACACGTATACACCAACATGACCAGTTTGAGCCTGGATATTAAATCCAAGATCTATTCCCTATCAAAATGAAAATTAGAATGACACATTACCTTTCTAGATCTTAGATCCTTTATGTCGAAAATGAGACTGATATAATTTTCTGACAATTAAAGGAGAATATGACATAGTGAATGTAAAATCACTGTCAATCTTAAGACTTTCTGAATATCAAAATGAGAATAATGTAACATATTATAATAATGTAATTTGGTACATTATAATGTAATTTGGTAAATGTAACATTTTTAGGTATTCTTGAAGCCCAAGTTAGACTCTACAGTAAATATGACAAGGTATAGTATATATATACAGAGATACAAAACCAAGAATAGAGCACATACTCTTCTAGTAGTTTTAAATTTGCATAAGTTAAAACTTCTAATAGAATAAATGTAGCACTTGTAAAATGATAAGCTAGGCATGATGGTACATGCCTGTAATCCTAGCACTAGGGAGGCTGAGGCAGAAAAAAAAAAAAACACTGAGTTCAAGCCCAGCCTGGACTACACAGTGAGAGCCTCTCTTTAAAAAAAAAAAAGAAAGAAAAAACAGGCTGGGTATGTAGCTCAGTGATGCAGCACCTGCCTGGCAAGTGTGAGGTCTTCAGTTCAATTCTTGGTACTCCAAAACGAACAAGAAGGAAGGAAGGAAGGAAGGGCAAGATATAACTCAAGGGAAAACTGAAGAGTGGTTCAATTATGCTACCTTCCCTTCAACTTCTTACACAGATGGGATAGATATTGTGAAGGAGCATAAGACAGCACAATAACTTGAAAAAGAAAACAAATGTGATGCAAATGGAAGCCAGGCACGGTGGTGCATGCCTATAATCCCAGCACTTGGGAGGTGAGGCAGGAGGATCATTGCGAGTTCAAGACCAGCCTGGGCTACAAAGTGAGCCCAAGGCCAGCCTGGACTGCAAAGTGAGACCTTGTCTCAAAAAGAGACACATCAAATCTGAGATGGGAGAAAATTACTATGATGCATATTACTAGAAACTACATGTTTGAATATAAAGTATAAATTATGTAATGTATTTTTGTTTGTTGATACAGTGTCTTGTAATACAGCCCAGGCTGGTTTCAAACTCAAAATCCTCCTTTCCTTCCTCTGCCTCCTTAACACTGTGACTATAGGAATATACTACCAAGGCTGTGTATTTTCATTGAAGTTAAATTTCATTATTCTGATAATTATACTGTGGTTATGTAAAAGGATATTTTTAGGCAAATCCACTGATGGATTACTGCAGTGGGAAGGCATAAATGCTTTCAAATAAAAGTCAACAGTGACACTGTGTTTACTGTGTGCCTACTATGTACATAAAAACAAAAGTAAAGTTGGATCTAATAAAGGTATATAAAAGTTCACTAAAGAATTCTTACGTGTTTTCTATAAACATGAAGTTTTAGAAAATGATCTGGTGTGTCTGTATTAGGCAAAATAAAATAACACTTATTAACTTAGTGGGAGGATTAAATAAATCAAAAGGTATGTATAAGCTTTATGTCTTTTTTTTTTTGAGGCAGGGTCTCACTATGCAGTTCAGGCTGGCCTTGAGCTCACTATGTAGCTCAGGTTGGCCTCCAACTCACATGATCCTCCTGCCTCAGCCTGCGGAGTGCTGGGATTGCAGGCATGCACCACCATGTCTGGCGTGGATAACCTTTAGAAAAGAATTTCACAAAACAAAGTCCTATATCTCCACAGAATAAAATAATTAGCACATGTTAATTTTGTGCAGATTGGGAAGAAAATTTACATATATATATATGTATTTTTTAAACTTCATTTTGAGATAGCGTCTTGCTAAGTTGCTTAAGCTGAGATCAAATTGGGGATCCTCGTGCTTCAGCCTCCCAGAGTGCTGGGATCATAGGCGTGTGCCTCCACACTGGGCAGTCCTATATAGTACGGGTCTAAGGATATATAACTCAGTGGTAGCATACACAAGGCCATGGGTTTAAATGCCTGCACCCAAAAAATGTTTCTAACAAGTACTAAAAGAAAACATGGGACAATTATTCTATAATTTGTAAAAGAGGGGAAAACACCTAAACACCTTTTAAAATCCAAACTCAAATAAGGTCAGATCTGTTTAACTGCATTACTAAAGAAACTTTTGCAAAGCATGGCATGGCAAAGTATAAAGACAAATCAGGAAAAGTACTTGCAAATGACATCCCTGACAAAGCTTTACCAGCCCCAATATATAAAAATGGAGGCAAAATGAACAGCGATCCTTTAGGAAACTGGCCTATAATAATTAACAGCTGACAAAGAAAATAAGAAAGGACTGGCGTGGAGGCCCAGGTCTGCATTCCCAGCACTCAAGAGCTGCACTAGGAGGATGAAGTGACCTTCTAGTTAACCATCAGCCAGGACAACAGACTGCAACCCCTGCTCGACCCCTTCTCAAAGGAAACAGATAATAAAGGAAAGCCCAGTGGCTCTTAACCACAGAAAGCGACTCACAGTATTTACAGCACAATCACACGCACACTGAGCACTTTCCCTATTAAGTGGCCCAAAACTCAAATGTGACAACGTATTTATCATAAGAACACAGGAAACCAGCTAATCGCTTAGTGTGAACAGAGAAAATACAGATGCTGCCAGCCTTTAGAAGTAACTTTCCTGTTAAAACCCCTTTCTGTCCTACTGTGTGTGAGGAGGGTCAGGTAGCAAAGAGGGAAGCAGGTAAAGAATCCCCTAGGGACTGGTTGTATAGTTCCATTCAGGGCTAGGGCTGCTAAGCCTGAGAAAGAGCCTGGATTCAGGCACTAGCACCCTCCCAAAAACTGTGGTCCTTACAGTACTGGGGGTTGGACCCAGGGCATTCATATTGGGCTACAGTTCCACGTCATTTTATTTTTTGAGTCAGGGACATGCCAAGTTTCCCAGGTAGAACTCAGGATCCTCCTTCCTAAGGCTCCCAAAGTGACAGAAAGAGGCCTGTACCACCAAGTCTGGTTTCCATAACTGTCTGAAAATGTTGACTGCTTTTAGCTCCACAGCACCTGAAATCCAAGGATCCCATTTAATAGACTGAGTTGGTAGTTAAGTAACAATTTCCCATGACAGACTAGAGATCTGAATTTCAAAGTGGTACAAAACAGGTTTGATTACTTTTCATTGAGGGTACATCTTCGGTCTGTCGGGTGACCATTGTATGACTTTAGGTTCTCAGTGAGCTCCGTGTACAGCCTGTCCGCCATCGGCAGAGGGATGCCATCCCACAACATGATGAGCACCACTATCACAGCAGTCTCACACTGGTGGCCTGGGCGCTGCCGGACCAAACAAAGAACCTTCTCTTCCTCACTGCTTCTTCTGATAACCTGCAAAAGCAGAATGTATTTATCTATGGAAAACAAGCATCCTGAAGTGTGAAGGCAATCGCTACTCCTTTTAAAGCTCCATATGACTCTATTTCAGTTTATTAGACAAAAATTCTACCATGTACCACCAGGGGCTAAGGTCTCTAGAAGCGAAGGAGACCATCCACTGTCTTGTACTTGCCTCCACGAAACTCACACAAACAGCATCTCAGGTCACACGATGAACAAAAGGCAGGCAGAAGAGGAATTATACTTGCAAAGAAGAGTCTACTCTTGGTTCATTATTGTTAGGGCTTGACTCAGAAAAACATAGTAATTTTTATGTGTTTCTTATTTAAACAAAACAAAGCAAAATAAAAACAGGCCGAAGAGGTTAAAGAAGCTAAGCATGATGGCGCACGCCTATTATCCTAGCACTGGGGAGGCTGAGGCAGGGGGAATCACTCTGAGTTTGAGGCCAGCCTGGGCTACACAGTGGGTTCAAGACCAGGCTAAACTGTGCAGTGACACCCTATCTCAAAAAAATCAAACCAAAACAAACAAAAAGGGAGAGAGAGGAGGCTGAAGAAGAGAAATTATATATCCAATAGTATACGTATTACTAAAAGGATGAAGAAATTGGAGTTCTATATTCCTTCACTCAGGAAGATGAAGCAGGAGGATCACCCCAAGTTTGAGGCCAGCCTGAACTACCCAGTGAGACCCTGTCTCAAAAAGACCAAAAAGGTAAAATAAAATTAAATGTAAAAAGGTAACTCCTTTGGAAAAATATTAGTATTAACAAGAGCTGAAAATGTACATACACCCACAACCCAGCAATTCCGCTTCTAGTCCCACACTAACTAGAAATATACTTTCCCATTTCCCAAAATTAGCAGCAGGGTTCATAGCTGCCCCCACTGAAAACAATCAAAATGTCATCACCAATAGAATGGCCCAATACATTGTAATTACTCACAATAACAGAACACTACTTAGCAATGCCAATGATTTAATGGCAAATTTGAGCCTTTGTGCCTAATCTGGGCTATTTAGTATGAATTTATCTCAAAAAAAAGAAAAGAAAAGAAAAGGCTGGGGATATAACTCAGGTCCTAGGTTCAACCTCCAGTTCAAAAACAACCACGAAAGCTCAGAAATTGATTATTTTTGACTGTTGCAATACTAGCCCTTAATTCCTTTGTTTATTTTATTCATTTCTTTTATGTTTTTTGAGATAGGGTCTCACTGTGTATCTTAGCCCCGTTACTACACAACCCAGGCTGGACTTGAGCTTGCTGTGATCCTCCTGCCTCAGCCTTCTGAGTGCTGGGATTACAAGCGTGCCCCTTGATGCCCAGCATGTATGTTTTCCCCTCTCAGTTTTTTTTTTAGTTCCTTTCTCTACAGTAAAAGCTTTGTCTTCCCTTCCTTTCTTTATTTCTCAGAAACTGAACATTTTCATAAATTTCTTAACTTCAGTTAGGATGTAATGTGCATTAGAAGCTACTTTATCTTAGCAGCTACTGGAAACTTGGCTCTGGAGCACAGAACTCAGTTCACAGGAGGCCCATATCAAATAGTTAAGTGAGTGCTTAACACCCACAAAAAGCCAGTGTGGTTACATTTTATAAAAATTTCAAATACTGTAACTTATTGAGAAAACCTTCAGTAAAATTTTTGTCAAGAATCATACTCTTAGCCTATGGTGGCACATGCATGTAATCCCAGCACTAGGAAGCCTGAGACAGAGGAATCGCTGTGAGTTTGAGGCCACCTGGGCTACACAGTGCAACCCTGCCTGGGGGAAAAAAAAATGGGCCATTTAGAGTGACCTTGAGTACAAGGGTGTGAGGCCATTCATTATTAAATATACAATAACTCTCGAGGCCGGGGTGTAGCTCAGTGGGTACAGTGTGTGCCTCTGCCTCTCACAGGCAAACCCCTGGAATAAATAATCCCCAGCACCAAAACCTACAAAAACACTTCACTGGCAAAGATTGTTCTGAGACACACAGTGACCACTGCAGATTCCCAAGAGAGAGAAGGACCAATTTGACAATATTCTTACATTTCTGGACAGGGCTAGGTCAAATCAAGGCCCAAGGAAGGATTGTGCAATGGCGCACAGATTGAGCCGCGTACCACAGTACAAGCGCACCGCCAAAAAAAGCAAAAGACAAGTATCTACACAGCTACCCTCCATGGGGATCGAATCCAGGAGTGAACTACATAGTGAACTACACCCTCCCTCAGTCCTTTTTAAAACCGTTTCTGAGACAGATTCTTCCTAAGCCACTAAGTTGCCAAGGCTGATCTAGAACTTTCAATCCTCCTGCTTCAGCCTCCCTGATTGCTGGGGTTACAGGTGTGTAACACCATGCCCAACTTCTAAACAGTTTTTTAACTGTCCATGTCCAAAAAGCAGAGGAGAAAAAAAAAAAAAAAAAAAAGCAGAGGAGAATGTGAAGTCTATGCACATTCTTGTTCTATATGTAGAAAAATACTGTGTCTGTCAATATCAATGAGTAGGGTGCTGCCATTTACTTCTGAAACCCAAGCACTGACCTCCCTCCGTGCCACGTGGGTGGAGCATTTTGTTTATCACACCAGCGTCACTACTCTGATGCTTGGTGCTTACCTACAGGCATAGGAAGCACACAAAGGGGGCCTTTCTAGTGCTTCTGAATATGAGCCATACAGGTGAACATCCAGATACAACAGACAATGTGATTAAAAAATAAATGAAAAGAAACAAATGGTAATAGCCAGGTCCAGCGGCCCATTCCTGTAATCCTAGAACTTGGGAGGCTGAGGCACAAGGACCACTGTGAGTGCAAGGGCAGCCTGGGCTACAAACTGAGTTCAAAGCCAGCCTGAACTGCGTAGTGAAACCTTGTCCCCTAAAAAAGGAAAAGAGCTAGATATAGAAAAAGAAAGAAAAAAAGAACTACATATAACGGCACAAATGCTCAAGTTGCTGGAAGATAGCATAGGGGAAACCCTGGAAGCCACAGGCAAGGACTTCTCAAACAGAACTTCAGCAGCACAGGCAGTGATACCAAGTGTCATGGCTCCTGTCTAGATGTCTTCCTCTAAAGCCTCATGCAGTCAGAGGTGGGGCTTTTTGGAGGTGGCTGAATCTAGAGTGTGTGACTGAGGCATAGTGCAATGCTAGGATTAAGGTGGGTAATACTAAGTCAGTTCACTGACTAGTTTGGCGCTGCCCTGATCCCTGTGGCCTGGATACGATATAAGGGACAGAAAGAGGCTTGTCTTCTACCTTGTTGCTTTTGCTGTCTTCTGCCCGCCATGAACTGTTTCTCCTCTGCCCCTCTGCCTTGGAGCCCGCGGACTAAGCACTGAAGCCTCTGCAGGGCCAGGGACATGGCTCAGTGGCACAAGCACTTGCCGGGCAAGTGCAAAGTCCTGAGTTTGATTCCCGGTACCAAGAAAGGAAAAAGAAACCTCTGCAAACAGTGCGCTAAGTGAACCTTTTAAACTTTAACTTTGGGTGTTGGGTATTTTGTCTTGTTAACAAGAAAAGTAACTAAGACACCAAGGGTCATCATTGAATGGGATCACACCAAATTCAAACGCTTTCACATAGCAAAGGAAACACCCGACAGTGTGAAGAGACAACCTGCAGAACAGAAGAAAAATTTAAAAATCACATTTGCCAGATACTCTTCTCATGGGGAACAAATATCTAGAATCATTAAAGAAATTTTTAAAAAAAGTGTCAAAATCAAAAATGAACAAATGAACTAAAAGACTGTACATGGCCAAAGAGTGCTGTTCAGCATCTTCAGCCTCTACAGAAATGCAGTCAAAAGTAGTCTGAGCCAAGTGTGGTAGTGCAAGCCTATCATCCCAGCACTGAGGAGGCTGAGTCAGGAGGATCACCATGAATTCAAGGCCAGCCTGGGCTACATGGCAAGACTCTACCTCAAAAAACATGCACAAAAGAAAACCACTCTGACGTCTGAGATCCCACCTTACTCCTGGCAGAGTGGCCCACCACCCAGAACTCAAAAGCAACAATTGCTGGGAGGTGAGGGGGACCAGAACCTTCCCACATGGCAGGCAGGGTGTAAATGAGTACAACCACTGTGGAGACCAGTATGGGATTCCTCAGAAGCCTGGCAACAGAAATCCCATTCGCTCCAACTCCCTCTCTCCTGGGTATTTCACTACAGCGCCTGTTGTAGACCTGCTTCTGGAAGACAGAGTGCGGTGCAGCGTGGTGGCCTAGCTCTGCAGACAGCTGCGACCCCACTGGGCCTGCAGACAGACACGCACGCAGTAGAGTCAGCCATAGGAGAGTGGACTGGTGTCGCTCACAGGAAAACAGATGTCTCAAGACCATGAAGTTAAGAGAAATAATCTAAATCCACAAATACTATCATATGGTTTCTTTCATGTGAGAAGCCCAAACACAAATAAGAGTAAAATAAAGGAGAGATAGCAGGAAGCAGGGAGGCGACCCTCTGGAGGTAGGGGAGGGTGGAAGGGCAAGGGAGGAGAGGAGGGAGTGGAAGATGAGCGCAACACTTGAGCACCAAGTACCCAAATGAATGGGAAGATTCTATATCATAAACACATACCAAAATCAAACAGAAAGATTTCCTTTAAAAATGAGTTCTACACTGAACTGAGACAGCATAACCGTAACTGTAATGTTACACTAGAAAATAATAGGGTTAAGTGGATAAAACCATGTTTTATAGCCAAAAAAAAATCCCAAAAACCAAAGTGCGTGATGACAAGCACCACCCACATGCAGTCTGCCTGATCTGATCCTTAAGTGTAGATGGTGGTCTAATACTCAGATCATGTCACAGGCACCTAAGAAGCCCAGGGTACCACTCCTGTCTTCACTGCTGCCATGGTAACAGGAGAGGCAGTGCCTGATTCATGCAGACAGAAGCACTATCATGGCCTAGCCAAAGACAAACACAGCTGAGGAAGAGACTAGGCAGACCCTTGGGACAAAGGAATACCTTTTTTGAGATTGTGTAAAAGTAAAAAAAAAAAACCAGATTGTGTAAAAGTGCAAGGCAGGGATGGTGGCACACACCTGTGATCCCAGTACTCAGGAGGCGGAAGCAGGAGGATTGCTGTGAGAGCGAGGCCAGCCTGGGCTACACAGGGAGACCCCGTCTCAAAAAACAAAAACTAAAAATACATATTTAGGTTCTGGGAGCGCCAGGCGTGGTGGCGCATGCCTGTAATCCCAGCACTTGGGAGGCTGAGGCAGGAGGATCATTGTGAGTTCGAGACCAACCTGGGCTACAAAGTGAGCTCAAGGCTAGCCTGAACTGCATAGTGTGACCCTGTCTCAAAAAAAAAATAGATTCTGGGGATTGAAGCCAGAGCCTTGAGCATGCTACACAAGAGCACTCTACCACTGAGCTGTACCACCAACCCAAAGTAAGAAGATTTAAAGATTTTTGGATACTTTAGTTTGGTTTATGCTTCACCCTGATAGTCACATCAGATGCGAGTATTACAGAAACCATCTATGCGAGTATGTTCACTGTCACTCCTGCTGTACAAGTACAGCCCTTCAGAGGGAGTGGTGATCTATGCCTGGTGGGGTTGGAATTCTTCCTCTGTAGTCATCATCCCAGGGGCTCCTAGTTAAGGCCACAGTGCATCTGAGATAAGGTATCATCCTTCCTCCAACACCTTCTAAATAGGGAGATAACCAGGCAGGTCCTGGCCAGGCCCCAAGTGGTAAGGCAAAGAGACCAAGCTTCAACCAGGCGTGGTGGTGCCCACCTGTAGTCCCAATACTTGGGAGGCTGAGGTAGGAGGATCACCAACAGCTCTGGGCAAGCCTGGACTACATAGTTCAAGACCAGCCTGAAGTAGGTAGTGAGGCCCTGTCTCAAAAAAAAAGAGATCAGATTTTTGCCAAAGGCTGATAGGTACGTGGCAGTGTGAGTAATCACAGCACAAGGGTATGTTGAGAAAAGAATCTCACTTCTACCAGTGAAGAAAAACAGTGCTACAATGGCTTAGAAAGTGGTACTGCCTGGTTACAATCTGCTCATAGGCCTTCTGTGTGCCCCATCATGAAGAGAAGCAAGCGGCAGGTGTGATGGCCCACACCTGTAATCGCAGCACCCAGCAGGCTGAGAGTTCAACGCCAGGTGTGCTATGTAGTGAGAACCCCCACCTCAAAGGAAAAGCTACTCCTGAATAGCATAGCTATATACTACTTCAAGACACCAATTCAAGTTCAAAAGTACTCAAGTTTGTAACATAAGGTCTGTAATCTCATAATCATTTACTCAACACAAATTCACTAACAACTCCAAGCTGAGCACTGCTCCAGGCACTAGCAGTGAAGAGTATATTTTAAATAAGATAACCTGGAATGTCAGCAAAAAATAAAGCTTAATTAACCTTATGGATTTTTTTGGGGGGGGCGAGGGAGCATGGTCTCACTATGTAGCCCAGGCTGGCCTTGAATTCATGGCAATCTTCCTGCCTCAGTCTCCTAAGTGTTGAAAAACCTTATGATTTTTATAATACATGTATCAACTATGAAACCTATATTGTTTTCAGACATGGAATAGCAATACTTTGTTTTATGATTATCCCACTCAATTCTCCTTAATAGATATTTAAAATGGCTCAGCAGCACAGCTTTATTTCATTCCTTATGTCAAAACTTTATTATTGAGAAATACACTTCCCAATGAGCAAAACCTTATTACCACAAGTCAGGATGAGAGATTTATCACTGAGCCTTCTGGGAATCTAACAGTGTTCTATTTCTTAGTGGGTAGTTGTTTCACAAGTATAGTACTCACTTTACAAATGTAGACAAATTGTACACTTACATGACCTTTTCCATGATACGTTCCATGATGAACAACACTGATTGAAAGTGGGGGAGGAGGCTTTCACTGAACAACATCCTCAGCCCTTTAAAAATTTTTTTAAATATTTTGAGACAGGGTTTTGCTAAGTCATTAAATTGCCCAGGCTAGACTCAAATTTGTGATTCTCCTGCCTCAGCCTTCAATAGGTATGCATCTCCACACCTGGCTCTGACATTATTTTAAAAAATATACCCTGTGAAAGCAAGGCCAGCCCTCACACACACCTGTAATCCCAGCACTTAGGAGGCTGAGGCAGGAGGGACTTTGAGACCAGCCTAGGCTAGTGAGTTCAAGGCCAGCCTGGACTACACTACAAAGACTGTCTCAAACAAACACACACACACACACACACACACACACACACAAACCCTTTTGATCAGCTTGCAGAAAGTTGTAAGAAAAAAAATGCCATTGGAATAATTACTTAACAGCACAGTTACTACTAAAAAGTAATTTCACATGGGTTAACTTTTTAAGATCAAATTATCATCACTTTGATCTTTGGCCAAAACTTTGTACTTAGAGCCATATTTAACATGGTGTGGCACTGTCTCTACTACAGATACACAGTATATGGCCAAATACATTATTCTCTAAAAAGTAACTTCCTCTTTTTGCCTGAAAAATAGTTCATACAGAAAACCCATAGGTATTAATTTTATTGCAGAAGTTTGCTGTTTCTTGGTCATTTAAGTTTGAGTCTATACAAGTATTATGTTCCTCAAATGATTTGAAAGTCATCTGAAAGCCATTATCATGTGTATACGTCTCATCACAGTCACTGAGGTACAATTTTTTTTTTTTTTTTAACTGAGGTACAATTTTAAAAAAAAAAACAGTGTTGCGCTGGGAATTGCACACCTGCAATCCCAGCGCTTGGGAGGCTGGAGGGTCACCTTGATTCTGGGGTCAGCCTGGAATACATAGAGAAAATCTGTCTGGGGTAGGGGAATCACCCTGTTGTGCCCTTCAGAAAAAAAAACAAAACCACAACCACAACAACCCCTACCCTTTCCCTTGACCTTTGTACCTGCCATTTCTCTACTTTGGACTGCTCTTCCCCACATTCTTGGGGATATTTTACTTTACAAACTTGGATCTTTTGCGTCATTCACCTCTGTCTCTCTCTTCTGGTCTCTGTTGCCCAGGCTGGGCTCAAATTCATGGGCTCAAGGGATCCTTCTGCCTCAGCGTCCTGGATATCTGTGACTACAGGCTCCTGCCACCACAACTGCTCACCCAAGTCTCAGTGCAAACGTCTCTTCCCAGAGAGGCCCCAGGACCCATACAAGGGGAATCCCGGAGGGATCTGCAGAGCCTGGAAAGAAGACAGCACCATGGCAGCACCTAAACCAGGAGCCAGGGTGTTAGACTAACTAACTTACAAGAAAGAAGGAAGAAATTTATGGTACAGAATTTAAAAAGGAAAAATAAATTTATTACAATCAATTACATACAATTATATATCTGAGATAATCAAGGGAAATAAGTTTGGAAAGAAATACTAACATCCGCAACTGCTCTTTCAGCGTTTAAAACAAAAATGACACCTTTTTAGACATTCTAAATGTGTGAACCAGTTGGGGATATGACTCAGCGGCACAGCACCTGCCTGGCAAGCGCGAGGTCCCGAGTTTAATTTCTGGTACCCTCACAAAACAACAACAACAAAACAAAATAAAGGTGTAAACCTGCTCTGAAACCCAAAACCCAGACAAGGACAGACTGCTTCCTTGTTATTTGCCTGTAAGAGTGGCTATTTTTCTTCCTCATTTTTTTTTAAGAGCAAAGGTCTCACTATGTAGTTCAAGTTGGCCTTGAACTCACTATGGAATCCAGACTGGCCTTGAACTCACAGCGATCCTCCTGCCTCAACCTCCTGAGAACAGCTATTTTTCTAGCCCACATTTTCATTTATTACTTAACCTGTGGACTCATTTTGTTTATTAAATATTTACCAACCTGTACCAACACAGAGTACTTACCCACTTAGCGACAGGACACCCCTGAGAGCTTTTCCCTTCTTTTCCTGTGTACACAACTTTTTCTATCCTTATTGCCTTTCCTTTTTGGCCGTACCTGAGTACAAAAGACAGGGGAAATAACGTGCTCATCAATCGCCGTCCAGCCTCCAGACGGGAAGCTTTTAACATCTCCCTGCGCATCAGAGACAAGTGAACACCAGGTCAAAAATGAAACACTGCTTGGCATTTCCTTTTGTTAACAACTTGTTTTTATGTAGCTGTTATTTTTGTTATCCAGTTAGGTTTATTTCTCCTTAAAGATCAATCTTGGAAAACAGCCTGGCTTCAGGACAAATAGGGGATTATGTGGTTCATGGGGTGCTGGCGGGGGTAATCTGAATGATCTCTCGCATTAGACGATAAATATAAATAATGATTCATAGGCGGATCAGAGACTTTTGCCTCCCAAGCATAAGGCTGCCGCTTCTGCGCGGGCACGTGCGTCCCGAGCACAACGGCGCAGCGCCGCAGGCTTCTCTCCATCCCGCCACAGCGTCCCCAGAGAGGCTCGCTCTGCAGGGTCAGGTCCACGACAAAGAAGGGTTTTAATGGGGACGCGCATCTCCTCACCTAGTCTCCATGATTTCCCTGACAGCAGCAACACTTGGTCCTGCCCCCAGGTGTGTATAATATGGGCCTTTGTCTTTTTGTATCCCTCGATCTGTGGAAGGAACAAGATTATTAGACCCAAAGGGTTGCGGAAGTGCACGGGGGCAAGGAAGAGCTGTTTTCAGTTTTTTATTTTTTGAAATAAAAAAATTTAGAACAATGAATATTGACAAAGTTTTGGTTAGCTTTGATAATTACAGACAAGGACAACTGGTCTGTAAAGTAACTTGTTAGGGTTGCCTTCCTACTCTTAATTCAACCTCTAAGAATCAGAGGAGAAAAAAAACTTTAAGATATGGATCATGTTTATTTTCTTATCTCTTGCCTCAAGTTTTTTTTTTTGGTTGTCATTGAGGTACAAATTAAATGTTATCCAAGACCAACAGATGTGAGAAACTTGGCTGCATAATTCTACTAAAATTGAGCCCAGAAATTTCACTGTTGAGAATTTATTTTACTGTACTTGTACCACTATATATTTATAATGTAAATGTACAAGAATGTTCCTTGTTGCAATTACCTGTAGTATCAAACAAAAAAGAGGAGCAACCTTAGGATGTCAAAAACTGAAAGGTTAAATAAATTACAGGCAGTTTATATAATGGAATACAAGAAAGTTATTCAAACAGTTTAAAAGCTAAAGAGGCAAGGTTGTAAAAAATACTGTTTTATCTAGTGGTTTAAATTTTTTGGGGGGAGACAAGTCTCGCTCTATAATTCAGACCAGTCTTGAACTCTCTTTGTACCCCAGGCTGGCTTCAAACTTGCAGTGATCCTCCTGCCTCAGCCTCCAAAGTGCTGGGATTACAGCAGGGATCTGTAAAAATACAGGCTGCATGCCTGGCTACAAAAATACCGTTGTGAAAGACCTAACTCTGTAAAACTGGAGATAAAAATCAAAATGGGAAATAATGTTTACTCATATGGAAAAGTGTAAGATATGTTCACTATTTCTGAACCATCGGAGGTTTTGTGAGCCCAAATTGCATACTGCTTGTAAGACAGTACCTTTAACCCCTTAAAAATCCTGTGTAACTAGAATCACTGGGAAATATCTGCGTTTTAGGCATTTCCGGCCATGGTCTATCTGCAACAAACTCACTAATCATTCTGAGTAGAAATCAAATACAGCACAGTGGAAAATTACTGTACTGTATTTCTGAGGCTTCTGAATCTAGGGCTCTTGATGCGATTTTAACTTCTTGGTGGCATATAGCAGTGGTTGTTATACCAATGCTCTGCAGTGGGGCTGACTTTAGCCTAGAGGACCTCTGGCAACACCTGCAGGCCTTCTCCAGTTGTGACATGGCAGCAGGCTGAGTGTGCAGTACTACTAGCACCTAGTGGGTAGAGAACGGCAGTGCTGTGCACAGCCCCCAAGCTGGGGAGTCCCCTGCACAGAGAATCGCTGGGCCTACAATGCTGACAGTGCTGAATTTCAGGAACACCAAGGTAGGTAGGGTCCATTACTCGGTTTTCCTCGAACACAATACACACCCCCAAATGCCTCAATCCTTGGGTATTGGTGGGTAGTTTCTAGGCGTTTTTATATTTCTCTTTCAGTTCCCCTTCCTTCACTTGAGCACAGTTACCTCACATTTTAAGATTAAAGGAAGACATGTAACTGACATGTATAAAACAGTTCTCCGTGTATTACAAAAATCTGGTCAGCTGAGAACCTTGCTGTCCTACCGTCTACACACTGGGAGTAGTTACCCGATATGAGGAAAGGGTCTTTTATTTGGTGGTGGTAGGAGTACATGGGGATTGAACCTTGGGCCTCTGCACTGAACTACATCCCCAGCCTTTTCTAAAATTTTGAGACAGATTCTCAGTAAGTCTCCCATGCTGGGCTCAAACTTGTGATCTTCTTGCCTCAGCTTCTTAGAGCATGGTGATTTCATGCAGTTGCTCTCCTGCCTGGCTAGACTTGAATTTGGAAGCAACAGAGGGTGGAGATTACAAGCATGGAAAAACCTGGCTTCCTGTCCCATTTCAGCTGAGTACTGGCTGTGAACACCTGTGTCTGTTTCTTTGCTTGTAACCCAGGGATAATAAGCCCCCTGTCGCACATAACAAGTCAAAGGCCCAGCACAGTGCAAGATGTATAGTTAAAGCCTTTATCCTTGCTCCTTGCTCTTCACTTCTATCCTTGGCCTAAGAACTCGTTTCCTAGTTCATATCCATGTTGTCACCTTTTTTGCGAAGGACAATATCCCTCCCCAAAGCTCAGTCCTTGGTGCCTGGCACCCAGAGTCCTGTTAACTCCCCATTCTGGGTTGGCTTTTTTTTTTTCTTTTTTTTTTTTGAGACAGGGTCTTGCTCTGCAGTTCAGGCTGGCCTTGAGCTCACCTTGTAGCCCAGGCTGGTCTTGAACTTGCAACGATCCTCCTGCCTCAGCCTCGCGAGTACTGGGATTACAGGCATGCGCCACCACACCTGGCAAACTCCCCATTCTGGAATGTACCAGAGAACCACCAACCTCTATGACAAAAAGACCAAGGCTTATTCAAATCAAATCTTGAGTTTTTGTGACTCGGGTCATATTTTAGTGATACTGTTTGAATTACTAAGCCTATACTTTACTTAACGAATTCTGTACTATCATAATTGTATAATAGCTGAAATAGAAGCCTCAAGCCACTTTATAAACTATTACAATCTATTTTATTATTATTTTATTTATTGTATTATTATTTATTTATTTTTGTATTATTTTATTGCATTATTTTATTTGTTGTAATATATTACAATCTATTTTACCTATTTTTTTTACAGCTATGTTAGTCAACAGATTTTTTTTCTTTTATTTGAGCACTAGACATGAAATTTAAACATAGTATAGGATTTGAATCCAGCTTTCATGTACTCAAGTATTGAACAAATATCTCATACAAACTGAGAATCTTTACCACGGCAAGATTTTCTCAGGGCTTTTAAGAACAGATAAAACTAGTTGTTAGTTCTGCATATTCTCTTTCAGTGACTTCTAAAGGCAAAAAACATAAAAAGATCAATCAGGAATTAGTCCATGACTCCTCTATTAACACAAACCTATTTGGTTTTTTTGTGTTTTGTTTTTTTTTGTTTTTTTCTGGTACCGGGAATTGAACTCAGACGTTGCGCTTGCCAGGCAAGCGCTGTGCCGCTGAGCTAAATCCCCAGCCCCTTTTTTGTTTTTTGTTTTGCCTTTTTGAGACAGGGTCTCGCTATGCAGTTCAGGCTGGCCTTGAGAGCACTTTGTAGCCCAGGCTGGTCTCGAACTCGCAACGATCCTCCTGCCTCAGCCTCCTGAGTGCTGGTATTACAGGCGGCAACCTATTTGTTGTTTTCCTGAAATAGTAAATTATTTATTTGTCTTTGTGAGGCAGGGTCTCACTATGTAGTCCAGGCTGGCCCTGAACTTACTATATAGCCTAGGCTGGCCTCAAACTCACACTGATATTTTAAACAAAAAACAAAACACCATTCTAGCTCTGGTATGGAAATTGTAGATACTTTCTGTGGTTATTTGCTAAATTGTGCATATGTTTTACATTCTCTACGCATTTTCTGTCTCGCGAGGAAACTTTTTTTAATAAAATCTTTATAGCTTGAAATTCTTTCACATACAGGGAGAGCAAATGTGATGAAGAATCAAGGAAGTTCATTCTTATGCCATAACAATACACAATTAGAGACACCGGCTCTGAGACAAATCAGCATATTTTCCACCAGAAAAAATTTACCTTTGTTTTTCCAAATTATGAGCTGAAATTTCCATTTTTCTGAGCAGAATGAATAAAGGTCCAACAGAAAAATGGGTACAGAATTACTTAGTCCGTCTTAGCTAGAATAAGAATGGGGCAAAAATACCACAAAAGATGAATCAGAACTTGATTCTGCATGAGGTGCAGCAATTCGTGCAGGCGAAAGCACAAATCCACCCACGCACTTACCAGGACAGTCGCAGGCTGGCACTTCTGTATCTTTTGTCGCAGCCACAAGGTTTTTGGCAGGACTGGTGAGGAACTTCACGGCATAATCGTGGAAATCCCTCTGCGCACTGTCTACAGGGGAACACTCGGGCGCTGCCACACCAGGTGAGCAGACTTCCTCTTCACTTCTGCTAGCAACCACTGTAATTCCGCCTGAACTAACTACGTTCAGGTTCCTGAGAATTTGTGTGGGGTCTGGCAGGGGGGTCTCGGGAGAGACGGCAGGCGGCGCTGCCAGCGTCTGTGGCATGAGGTGCTCTTGGGCATCCTGCAGAAACTGTGTTGGGTCACTGCCGGCCACCAGGTTAGCACACTGGTTAGGTAGACAGGAGGGTGGGGGCAAGGGGTGAGCTTTCGGGTTGCCGTTGACTGCTGCCGGTACCTGAGAAATGGGCGCTTTATCCGCACGTGCCTGCCCGTGAGAACTGGTCTCAACAGGAAACACTGGAAGTGAATCCAGCGGTTCAACCTTCACCGTCTTCTTCTGTGCTAATTCAGGATCTCGCTCAAATTTGATCTGACTGAGGGGAGGAAATAATCTTTTGTGTTGTAGGGTGGTACTGGCTTGAGCCAGCGGTTTCAAAACTTTGGAAAAAGGAGGAATTTTTCCCAACAGAAGAGGAAAATCATGCGGGCCAAACTGACCAAATCTTTGAAATTTGGACGCGATCCAAATGTCATGTAACTTACTATACTCATAGGACAGCTGCTCCCGCTGCTTCTGATCGTTTTCTTGACAGGTTATGACAGCAGGCTTCTTCTTCCGCCGATCTCTTACAGGGGTGGACTTGGTCTTTTTAGGGGCTGTGTTCTTTTGCTTTGCTAATGCTAAGCCATGATTGCTTTGTGCACTTGGAGATGGCTTCTGTAGCACGGCACCCTCCTCCTGACTATGTTTTTGCTGTGTATTTCGGGCAACAAGGCTTGTTGGTGAACTCTTGTCATTATCGTCCTCTGCTTTTATATAATTGCATTTAATTATTGATGCAAGTTGTGTTAATTGTGTTGCAACGTCTTCCTCAATTTGGCTGTAAGGTGTGTCCTGACTTAATGGATCTTCTTTGGAATTCAAATTTTTACTACAGTCTGGCAATTGATTACAATATCCCAATTTACTACTTTCTGACATGTGATGCAAATTCTGAGAACCATCATCAAGACCAGATCTATTTCCCGTGACACTTTCACTAGTATCAATTTTCAATGAATTGGATTTCGGTATTAAAAAAGATGTAAAATTTTCGACTTCTGAATGTTCAGGTGGCTTGGTGGGTGCTTGGTTAGTGGCAGAGCCAAGCTGTGGCTTGGACAGGGTGTTCTGGCCGTTGAACACCGCTGTGGGGCGCAAACCTTGCTTCTCTACAGATGGACAAGGAGGAACGCTCTGCGGCTCTCGCAAGTTGGGGTCTCGCAAATCTTTTCTCACGGAATAGAGGATGGCTTTGCAGCTGTGAAGCAAACTGGCTGTTCTCTGAGCTGTCTCCTCCTCCTTCTCTGACTTGCATGGTGAGGAGTTCTCTGATGGGGCTTCGGAGAGTTGCGTCAGGGCCTCGATGGCAACCACCTGCTCCAGTGTCAACCTCCGGTCTTTCATGAGGGAAAGGAGAGTGGGCTGCATGGGGGAGCCACCTCTAGGCTCCTTACATGCTCTGACCTCAGTGGTTTTAGGCTGGTCACCTTCACTGTGTGTGAAGGTCTGACTGTTAAAGTGTGAACAATCTTCAGATTTGCAATTAAAGCCAGGCTTCTGGAAGACAAAGATGTTCCTCTTGTCCTTGAGGCGATCACAGCTCGTACTAGAGACTGTGGGGTTCATGGCATTATTCTGGTTTGCAGCGTCTTTCAGGAGTTTGTAGGGATGATTTCCCAATGCCTTGCCAAATTCTTCAATACTGAATTTGTTAAATGGTGCGTTTGCCTCAGCTGATAGACAGGGCACATTTTTAATGCCATTTCTTACTGTTTGTGCGAACAATTTTGGAGGCTTGGTTTGTTTCTTGTCATCCTCAGGCTGCTTTGATTTCTCAGCTTTGGTGACATGCGTGCCGAAGTCGCCATTGACGTGCTCAGTTAAATGTGATTTCTTGTTCTGCGTCCACTTCTCCACCTCAACACCTGTCATGCTTTCTTCATTTTTTGTCACATTTTCCAGGGGCTGTGTGTTCAGTTCCAATCTTTGTTCTTCCCCATGACCACCGCTACTGTATTCCATGGATTCTGACTTGAGGCCATTTACTGGTTTGCTGTCAAAATCTGCCTGTAAAATAAATCAAGAAATCACTCATCTACTTAAATATCCAAACAAGAGTCATAGAAACTACAGCTGAGTAGCAACTGAGGGTGAAGCCTTTGAGGGTACAACCTAAAACACTGATTTATTATATTTGATATTTTCAGAGAATTAAAAAAGTACCAAGAAGTGGAGTATAGTGTTAAAGGAAAATGAGGAAAACCTATTCAAATCCTACACCTATTGATACTTTGGGGTACTCGTTTGTCTACCCTGTTAATTTTTAAAAAGTCTGCATATATGTACACACACACACACACACACACACACACACACACACACACGATAACTAAGATAATTGCACTACTAATTTCTATTAGTTTATTGAAAGGAACAGTTTCTGCTTATATTGTTCAATTTTTTCACACCTATATCTGATATGCTAAGCAACTACTTTGCAATAACAATATGTAAACCAGGCATGGTGGCACACACCTGTAATCCCAGCACTTGGGAGGCTGAGGCAGGAAGATCATTGCAAGTTCGAGGCTAGCCTGGGATACAAAGTGAGCTCAAGGCCAGCCTGAACTACACAGCGAGACCCTGTCTCAAAAAGACAAAAATAATAATAACCATTGCTAATTTCCTATCTTGTTTTCAAATTCTGTATAGTTTTTATTTTTTAATATTCTCTTTATTTTTTTTATTTTTTTTGTACCGGAATCCAACTCAGGACCTTGTGCTTGCTAGGCAGGTGCTTGTTCCACTGAGCTGTATCCATGACCCTTTTTAAAATTCTCTTTAAAATACATTTTTTGTTGTGTTTAGTTTTTGAGACAGGGTCTCACTATGTAGTCCAGGATGGCCTTGAACTTGCAGAAATTCTCCTGCTCCAGTTTCCCAAGTGCTGGAATTATAGGTATGTGCCTCCATGCGTGGCTAATATTTTTATATTGGAACCATTAAGTAGGCAATATCTATCATTTAAACACAAACTGTATTGAAGTACAGCACACACACAAAGTGCACATATCCCAAGTATACACTTCATTGAATTTTCACAAAATGAATCCTTATGTACCCAGATCCCAGCATGAACTCCTCTGTTCTGTTCACAAGTGGTAACCATTGTTCCAGAATCTAATGTTATAGATTTCTCATGCTTATTTTCAAAGTTTCCATAACCAACTTCTCTCTCTGAAAATCACAGTATTGACACAGGTCCACCTTGTTCCGCTGCAGCATGGTGATTCCAACAGTGAACCACCAGCTCTGCATTAGTCTATTCTACTGTCATGGAGTCTGCACTTAGTTTTAGTTTTTGGCTAATATAAGTATAGGGCTGTAACATACTAGTGCCGTCTCTTGGTGAACACACACACACGGGCTGGGTGATAAGGTGTGCATTTGGAGGCATGATAAAAAAAATATAGTTTAGTGTTTAATTTTTTTTTCCTTTTGAGACAGGGTTTCGCTATGGAGTCCAGCCTGGCCTTAAACCTGCGGTGATCCACCTGCCTCAGCCTCCTGAGTGATGGAATTATAGGCATGTACCACCATGCCCAGCAAAAAAAAAAAGAGACATATTGCCATTGACCTGCTTTAAAACTATCCCTCCAAGGAAGAGAAAAGTAAAAAAATGAGAAAAGAAGGGAAAAAAAGCTTTTGTGAATAAGGTGGGGAACATGGTTTGAAAGGAGGGGCGCGAGACAGAAAACAAAAAGAATCAAGTTATATCATGTACAGGTACAATTCCCTGTGATGAATGTGATCATTATGCATACCTAAATGTAACAATAAACATCATTTCTCTTGGAAAAAACAAAATAGAAAATGTCCTTCACCCTTCCACTTTGAACACGCTTATGCTATCGTTCTTGCCTCTTCCTGAGCAGTTCTGGAAGCTCTTTTCCGGGTGTCTAAGTGTCCTTAGTTGCCCTGTCCCGGCTGTCCTGATGTCCCAAACCAGTTAAAAAAGTTTCCTGTCATACTCGTTCTGCCTTTGAGGAGGAGCCTGAGTGAAGAGGGCATGTTGTACCACACGCAGTGAGACCGGTGAAGGCACGCCGTGATGCTTCTATCTGATATCAATTTCCATGAACATTTTGAGTCACTCAAAATACTCAAGCACACATGAAATGACACACAGGGAGGAAGATCCCCAGCAACCAGCAGAAACAGTGGGGTAGGGTGTTCGAAGGGAGGAGGAGCACTTTGAGGAGGAGTCAGGCCAACGCCTTTCACGGTAATAAATTTCAAAATATTAGGCAGCTGGTCGTGATGCGCACACCTATAATGTTAGTGCTCAGGAGGCTGAGACAGGAGGACTGCAACAGTGAGGCCAGCCTGGGCAACTTCAGAGACCCTACCTCAAAACTAAAGAAAATAAAAGGTTCGGGATACAGGTCAGCATTCCCTGGGTTCAATGCCCACTACTGCAAAACAAAAACAAAAGTAGAAAACCCTGACAGTTCTAAAAATAAAGGTTCAGTTGTTTAATAGTGATATAAAATGGACACGGTGGTACACAAATATAATCGCACCACCTCAGGGACGCCAAGTCAGCAGGAAGGCAAGTTTGAACCCAAGCAAGGAAACCTATGGAGCCCACAGATAAAATCAAAATCAAATAAAAAAGTCTTGGAGGGGTGGTGATGGAATGCAGGTCAGTGGTAGAGCACTTGCCTAGCATGTACAAGGCCCTGGGTCAGATCCCAGCACCACACCCACACTCACACCCACTAGAAAGTTTGACCCAACTTCAGCAACAAAAAATAATAGATAATCTCAACACAAAGAGTTATAAGAATTCTGGGCAAGCTGGGTGCCCTAGTGGTGCATGCCTGTAAACCTAGCACTGGGGGCAGGGAGTGCCTGAGGCAGAAGGATCGTTGTGAGTTCAAGGCCAGCCTAGGCTACACAGTGAGCTCAAGACCAGCTGGAACTGCATAGCAAGACGAACTGCATAGCAAGACACTGTCTCAAAAAGACCACCAAAAAAACAAAAACAAAACCACCAAATTCTGGACAAAGAAAGCACACTATCCTTTTTTTTGGTTTTTCTCTGGTACCGGGAACTGAACTCACGACCTTGCGCTTGCCAGGCAGGCGCTTTGCCGCTGAGCTAAATCCCCAGCCCTCACACTATCTTTTAATGAAAGTTTAAAATTATTTTGGACAGGGGGCTGGGGATTTAGCTCAGTGGCACTGTGCCTGCCTGGCAAGTGCAAGGTTGTGGGTTTGATTCCCAGTACCGGAAGAAAAAAAATCAAACCAAAACAAAACAAAAACAAAAAACAAAAAATAAATAAATAAAATTATTTTGGACAAAAGTATTCCTTCATGTGGAAGGCTGTTTAAAATTAAACAGACAATTGGGTTGCCAAAATAAGACACTGTTTATTATAACAAGACTTAGCAAATTATTGTTCTGTAAAGGGACAGAGAATAAAATATTGTGGGTTTTTTGGGCTTATACATCTCTGTCATAAGAATTACTGTTGTATTAAGCAAGTGGCCACAGACAATGTGCAAATAAATTAGTGTGGTCATGTTCCAATAACACTATTTCTATTTACGGACACTTAAATGTGACCTTCATATAACTCCATATCACATAGGCATGCAGAGGTAAGATATAATGTGGTGGTATACACCTATAATCCTAGCACTCTGGGAGGCTGAGGCAGGAGGATCTAAAATTCAAACCTAGCCTGAGCAATTTAGTGAGATTCTGTCTTCAAAAATAAACAATAAGGCCGAACATTGTGGTCCACACCTGTAATCCCAGTACTCGGGAGGATGAGGCAGGAGGATCATGGTGAGTTTGAGACCAGCCTGGGCTACAAGGTGAGCTCAAGGCCAGCCTGAACTGCATAGTGAGACCCTGTCTCAAAAAGACAGATAGACAAATGTATGAATGAATGAATAAATAAATAAAGTCGCTCAATCCATAGACCCTGGGTTCAATCATCAGAACAAGAGCAAGTTAAAAGAAAAAAAGTCTGACAATAGAGTGGAAAGGGTTGAGGATATAGCTCAGGGGCACAAATGCCTGCCTGGCAAGCTCAAGGTCCTGAGTTCCATTCCCAGTACCAAAAAAAAGTTGAGTGGGAAAATATTCACAGGTCATGTAAAAGGTTACAATTCTTAACATGAATGAGTCCCTACTGCTGACTCAACAGAAGAGGAAGAAGAAAGAAATAAGCAACCCACATAAGTCGAAATCCAAAGGGTTACGTGTTCAGCTTTCCTAGAAGACAAGCAAATGAAAATTGCAACTTTCCACCGACTCAAGTGGCATAAAGAAGTGGAAATGTACTTTTTATTTTTTTTGGTACTGGGAATTGAACTCAGGACCTCGTACTTGCCAGGCAGGCAGTTGTGCCACTGAGCTATATCCCTGGCCCTGGAAATGTACTTTTTTGTTTTGTTTTGTTTGTTTGTTTTTTTCCAGTACTGGCAATTAAACTCACGACCCCGTGCTTTCCAGGCAGGTGCTGTGCCACTGAGCTATATCCCCAGCCCTGGAAATGTACTTTTAAGTACTGCTGGAAAATGGTATTGAGGAAAGAAGGAGATTGAGGGTTGTAGTTCATGCTTGTAATTCTACTGAAATGCAGAGCCAAGAACATGGGTTTGCACACGCTCCTCCGTGGAGAGCTCCTGAGGGACCCTGAAGAATTATGTGTCAGAGTCTGATGGAGACGCTATGTTCTGAAGATATTTCCTTTAATCAAGCTTAAGTAATAACAGCTATCCAGGCTCAGGGGCGCACGCCTGGAATCCTAGCACTCAGGAGGCTGAGGCAAGGGAAGATAGGGTTTGAGGTCATCTAGACTACATAGCAAGACTTTGTCTCAAGACAACAGGGCGGTGATACAGCTTAGCGGCACAAGCACTGGCCTGGCTAGTCCAAGGTCCTGAGTTCAATTCATGGCACCAAAAAAAAACACCAAACACCTGTGTGTGTGTGTGTGTGTGTGTGTGTGTGTGTGTGTGAGCGCGCACGCGCACTGAGGACTAAA